GTCCTCTTAACGTTGTACGTGTGTCCTCTTAACGTTGTACGTGTGTCTATTCCATATGGCCAGCCCTTATATCCAATGTTGTTCAATGATGTGGCTGCACACAGTGTGTGGTCTGATTGGTAACTGGGGAAGTTGTGTGGTGTAGAGTGGTGGCTCATGCTCCTTGAGGGAGGTCGAAGGTTGGGGGGGGGGGGGGGGGGAAGTTGAGGTGGGGGTGGTGTGCGGATGTGTGAGAGGGGCAGACACTCGGGCTGCTATTTAGGCTGTGTGATGTCCTGACTTGGTGATTTGGAGGGGTGTGTGTCTGTGTGTCTGTTTCTGTGTGTCTGTGCGTGTGTGTGTGCCTGTGCCTGTCTGAAGCTCTCTGGGCTGTGTTGGGTTTGCTTGTCATTAATGTCTGACTGTGCCTTTGGCAGGGGAGCAGGTTGCAGTGTATCGTGGCCAGGATGGACAGGCCCATGTCGTGGATGCCTATTGCCCTCACCTGGGCGCTAACCTGGCTGTGGGAGGGCGAGTGATGGGCAACTGTATCGAGTGCCCATTCCACGGCTGGCAGTTCCGCGGTGAGGATGGCAAGTGTGTAAAGATTCCGTATGCAGAGAAAGGTATGGACCGTGGGGGAGTGATGCTGAGGGTGGTCTGATGGGGGTAGTTTAGGATGAGCTCTCTAACTCGGTTAGAACAATCAGGTGGGAGGAATGAAGCTTCACCCAGCGTCACCCAAAAACACGAGGCCAAGTGGGGAGAGTGAGGGCTGGCCTTGTGTCCGAGTACATTGGAGCTCCCGCTGGGGGACACCTCGGGTTGTCAGAGAGGCTGTAGAGTTAACACCAGCAATGGTGGTGGTCTGACCTACGTTTGTATGGGTGTGTGTGTGTCTGTCTGTCCTCCTCCTGCAGTGCCGGACTTTGCGAAAATTAAGACCTGGCCATCGTGTGAGCTGAACTGTGCGGTGTTTGTGTGGTTTCACTGTGATGGTATCGACCCGAGCTGGAGCATTCCTGAGCAGGAGGAGATCCAGTCCAGAGAGTGGGTGTACCGTGGGAGGACAGCGCATTATGTCAACTGTCACATCCAGGTAGGAGCAGAGAGAGGGAGCGAGAGGTGCAATGTGTTTGTATCTGATTCCAGGTTGAGTGCGAGCCCAAGGCAAGACATGAAAGAGACTGGAGTTAATTTGAACACCCGCTGTTTTGGAAGCAATACCATGGGCTGTAGAAATCTGACACTCAACAAAACTGAAAACAAAAAATGCTGGAAATCTCAGTGGGTCAGACAGCATCTGTGGAGAGAGAGCAAGCTAACATTTCTATTTTGTTCAAAAAGCACACAATTTGTAGTCCCATTCAGACAGTGTGGCATCTTATAAATTCCAGCTTTCGGAATAAAACCAGCCTGACTCCAGGTTAAAACTCTGAAAATGATTCTGAACAAAGCCTCACACCTACAGTTCAGGGTCTGGCCTGAGGTGTCACCTTTTGTATATTCCTACGGCTCTGCCTGATTGACATGACAGAACAGCACTGACATTGACTTTATAAACACCTTACACACCGTCTAACACACTTGGCCACCTGCAGAGACTTATCATCTGACATTCCACTCACACCAGTTGTATGATCTTTTGATTTCTCTGCCTATACACTCTGGGTCTGTGTGCCCTGCTCTGTCACTGCTCCTGACAAAAGGGCTGCCCTCCAAAAGCTTGTATTTTCAAATAAACCTGTTGGGCCATAACCTGGTGTTGTGTGATTTCTGACTTTGTTTTAAGTCTAGATGACTCTTCATCAGAGCTGAATCAACAAAACACCCTTGTGTTGAGAAATAAAATCAGGAAGTGCTGGAGAAATCAACAGGCCTGGTAGCATCTGTGGAGAGAGAAACCATTTCCAGTCTGGTATGACTTTTGTAATCCCAGAACTGTTGAAGAAGGTTCACTGGACATGAAATGTTAACTCTGTTTCTCTCTTCACCGATGCTGCCAGACCTGCTGATTTCTCCAGCACTTCTGTCGTTGTTTCAGCCTCTGCCGTCTTTTGCTTTTACACTATTGTTTCTGGAAAGTTCTTTCACCTACAGTAACCCAACAGCACAGGACTTGATGAAAATCAGACTGAGAATTTGCCTCCCTGAGCTCCTTTTCCATTAATACACTCCATCCCTTTCTTCTAGAAAAGACTCAAGCACTGGTCATAGTGTCTGAGTTCCATTTTGCTTCAGTCTGTCTGTGTGGTAAATCTTTAGAGCACAGTAGCTCATTTAGCCCTTCAAATCTCTGACTATTTGCTACTGCCTTGCTGTCTGCCTGCAGTCCCCTTCTTGAATTTCCTGTACCTGTTTCTCTCACGCTGTCTTCTGGCAAAGCATTCTGTTTTTACTTATTACTTCTAGGACGAGGGCATCGCCGGCAAGGATTTATTGCCCGTCCATAACTGCCCTTGGACTTGGTGGCTGGTTGCCAGAGTTAAGAGAAATGTTGTGTGTAGGTGAGACCAAGTAAGGATTGTACGTTTTTAAACAGCAAAAGTGATTCCAGAATTTGCTCATTGAATTTGAACTTCTCCAGCTGCTGTGATAATATTTGAACCTATGTCCCAGCAGCATCAGGCCTCGCCCTCTGGCTGACCAAGTCTAGTGACATTACCACCACCTCCCCTAATGTTGCAGAAACTCAGTGCATTCTTTTCCTGAGCTCCGTCTGCCTGGGAGGGGGTTTTAATCTGTTTGTGTGATGTGCTGTATGTTTAAGGGCTGGGCTAAGTGACCTGCAGTTCCCAGGAGTAGCTGGCGCCTCCTGTGGGTGAGATTCTGCTCTGCTGGTAGATTTGGAGTGATCTGCATGGGTTTGACAGGCTGTGATTCTGCGACAGGAGATCCCGGAGAACGCAGCTGATATTGCTCACCTGTTCCACCTGCATACCCCCAACGTGTTGAGTGGAGCTGATCTACGCTACACCAGGGCCAAGCTCTGGGGCTTTGCCCAACATGACTGGAAGGTAAGGAGAACTGGGGCCCTGCTCCTTGGGCATGATGTTTCATATAGGATCTGGCTAATTCTCAAAGCAAAGTGTCGAATGAGATTCCTGGCTGATGGATACTGGGGATTTCTCTGGGAGTGAGGGAAGCAGGAGAAGGGCTGTTGGGTTGACCCTCTTGTTCTGTGTTTGCTCCCTGCCCCATCTTCCTGGCTTTGTCACAGCCAAGCTCTGAGATCTTGCAAGTAACTTGATGCTTGGGCTGAACAACTGAGGGACCATGCAGTGTAGAATGTGAGCACATATCTGTGTCACACTTCTGTCACTCTCTGTCTCTATACACTAATGGACCACAGGCCTGCGACAGCAAAGGATGATATGGGGACCACTGACACAAGAGGAACAATCCTCCTTGTCTGGGTCCTTTATGTCCATATCCTTTTATATCACTCTTCTGTCTTTCTTAGAAATAGACATCATGAAGACAGAATTGGTTTAAGGTTTGTGTTGGATATCCACATTCTCCTCACAGTCACAGGGTGTTGGAGCACACTCCTGTCATGAGGTCAGAGACAGTAAGTCACCAGAAAGTGCTTGTCAAAATCTGGCTGGGAGAGGTGAGGAGTAACAACCAAACCAGGTGATTATAACACATCAGATTGGTCATTCCAACCTGAAGCAGGGAACGAATCCATTGCATTAGAGGAATTACTAATTATTTAATTTGACAAGGACCCCTTAATACTTTTGACAGCTCTGGGGGTGCTAACCAGCTTAGGAAAATCCTCCTTACAATTCCTCATTGACACTTAATGTGAGTTAGAGTGCAGTTCCGTGGTTAAATGTTTTGACAATCAGCTGTCTCGAGTTTTATGAATGTGTGGAAGGTGTGAGCTCTGTTCCCTAACGGCAACGTTAAATGTTTATAGATCAGTGGCTAACTCTCGGCTGGAGTTCCGCATGACATCAATAGCTTCAGGGTGAAGGGTTTCAATTATTTTTAAAAAAAAACTCCTTTAAAGCACAGGAAGTTCAGGAGATCAGAGATGTTTGCAATTATAAAAGGTTTTGATAGAAAGTGGGGGAAGTAACTGTTCCTGATTCAGGTCAGGAATCCGAGGAGACAAGTCTGTCTTCAGTGGCAAAAACAATCATAAGCTGGTGGTGGTGGGGTGGGATGGGGGACGGGGGGAGCGGGAATGTGTTGCTGTGAACAAGTGTGACACAGTGAGGTGTTCAGATCTAGAATGTTCCGCCTGAACGGCTAGTGCAAGAGATTGAAGATTTTTTTGAGGAGGCATTGAGTAATGGCTGGAACGGAACAACATGTACAGGCTATGGGGCAAGATGAGACACTGCAACTCTTTCGGAAGCTTCTTCAGAGAGTCTGTAAGTGAGCACTCGGTGGGCTGAATGGTCTGGAGGGATGGCCAATTCCTGAAGTGTTGGGGGGGCGTCTGATGCCCAACTTTGCAAAGCTCCGTTTATGTGACGGTCTGGGGACTGATGGCAAAAGGTGACGAGCTTCCCTGAGATTACTGCTGTTTCTCTTTAGGTGGAATGGCACCCAGAGCCTGAACCTACCAAACACTGCTCGCGGATGTTGGTCAATCACTCCCTGTATGTCCTTGGCTGCCACTGCTCTCTCCTGGATGTCCATATTGTTGCCAGGCAGGTAGGAACTGGCATGTGAAATTACTGTAACTTTGCAAAACACCCTGAGCTGACCTCCCACAAGTAAACACTGCAGCATCACTGTTCCCTGTACCGCATTCCCATTCTCCACATGCTACCATTCGACAAGCAGGAAATGACCCCCCATCGCCTCATGGTGTTCTGCCCAGCTCATAATGGTCAACCAGTGCGTTACACTCTCACCCCCAAGTCGGAAGTTCTTGGGTTCAAATCCCCTTTCAGGGATTCTCAGGGAGGTGATCGTCTAGTGACTTTATCTCTCGACTATCAACCCAGACACCCAGGCAATGTTCTGGGGACCTGGGTTCAAATCCTGCTATGGCAGATGATGGAATTTGGATTCAATAAAAAATCTGGAATTAAGAGTCTAATGATGACCATGAATCCATTCACAATTGTCAGGAAAAGCCTATCACTTTCACTAATGTTCTTTAGGGGTGGAGACTACTGCCCTTACCTGGTCTGGCCTATATGTGACTCCAGACCCACAGCAATGTGATTTGAATTTCCTCTGGGAAGTTAGGGATGGGTTATAAATGCTGGGTTGGCCAACGATGCCCTCCTCCTGTGTCTGCATAAATATAAATATAAATCCTTGAGTGCAAAATCTAGCCTGGCAATCATATCCAGTGCTGAGGGATAACAGCAATGTTGGAGATGCCATCTTTCAAAGAGACAATTAAACAGAGCCCACTGCTATGAAAGGTCCTCCTATCGCCCTGTGCTGACCCTAAAGAGCCCAGGAGTGCCCCATCTGACCAAAATGCATCCCTCAAATAGCAGGTAGGAACAGATTGTCTGGTCAGTCTCTTGTGTTTGTTGGCGTTCACTGTGCACAGATTGACTGACTGCCAGATTTCCCATGCAACCCTGAAAGTAACCTGCTTGGTTGGAAAGTACTGGGAAGTTTGACAGATCATGAAAGGTGCTATGTCAATGCAACTTTTTTTTAAAAAAAATTCTCTCACATGCACATTCACTGACTTGTGGATATAACTGATGTGGCTGTGATGTCCCTCACGCACCCATATAAGTTGTGGGGGGGGGAATGCTGCCACCCACAGTGAATCTGCTTTTTGCATCTGCCAAAATTGGTTAAAAATGAAAGAAACAAAGCACTGCAAATGCTGAAAAACTGAGCAGCGTCTGTGGAGAGAAATCCCGAGAGAATGTTTCAGGTCTCTGACCTTTCTGTCAGAGCGGACGTTCATTGATTCAGATGCTGCCAAACTTCCTGGTTTCTCCAGCATTCTGTTCGTATTGCAGCTTTCCAACATCCCTCCTGAACTGCCTCCTATCCTGTTTGTCTCTGTCGTTTGTGGATTTCCTGTTTTTCCTGGTATTCCCTGTTCACGCCCGGCCTCTGTCTTGCTCAAGGTGGGTCCTAGCATAGTCTACCTGCTGTTCAACCACTCATTCCTGGGTCGCGGAATGATCCTGCATTGTGTGACGCCTGTGGAGCCTCTGCTGCAGAGAGTGAGCCATCGCATGTATTACCAGGCCAACATTCCCCCCATCGTCCCCAAGTTCATCCTGAAGGCCGAGTGTATTCAGGTGAGTGTTTGGCTGGAGTGTGTAGGAAGAAGATGAGGGGGCAGGGGACAGTTAAAAGGGTATTTATAGTGAGGGACACATTAGGGCATTGATCCAACAGGTTACAGGTTCATCTAAGACTTGACTAAATAGAATCAGAGTCATACAGCACGGAAACAGACCCTTCAGTCCAACCAGTGCATGCTGACCATGTTCCCAAACTAAACTAGTCCCACCTGCCTGCTCCTGGCCCATATCCCTCTAAACCTTTCCTATTCATATACTTATCCAAATATCCTTTAAACGTTGTACTATAGCTGCATCCACCACTTCTTCTGGAAGTTCATTCTGCACATGAACCATTTTGTGTATTAAAAAAAAAAAAAGTTGCCCCTCATGTCTTTTTTAAAATTTTCTCCTCTCCCCTTAAAAGTATGCCCCCTAGTCTTGAGATCCCCTGTCCTAGGAAATATCTTGTCATTCACCTTATCTATACCCCTCATTTTTTACAAACCTCTGTAAGGTCACCCTTCACCCTCCCGTGCTCCACTGAAATAGTCCCAGCCTATCCACCCTCTCCTTCTAGCTCAAACCCTCCATTCCTGGCAACATCCTGTTAAATCTCTTCTGAACCCTTTCCAATTAAGTGATATCCTTCCTGTAACAAGATGACCAGAACTGGACACGCTATTCCAGAAGAAATCTTGCCAATGTCCTGTACAACCTCAACATGACATCCCAACTCCTATAGGGCTGACACCCCTGACCAGTGACTGGGGGAGGAGGCAGGTGAAAATGGGGGCAGTTGGAGGAGGGGATCGGGTGAAGGGACGTGGTTGGGGACGGGTGAAGCTGGGTGGTGGGGATGGAGAGGTCAGGGGAGGGTTTCTGGTGAAGGGGGTGTTGAGAAGCTCCCGTTGAAGGAGGCTGGAAGAGTTATTGTTCAGCCAGAGGTGAATAACGTCTTTGACATTATTGTCACTCTTCAGAACACGAAAAGCAACATTTCCTCTGTCTATCCCCCTCTTCCAGTCAGATCATACATCATTTACAGAATTGCTTTTCATAATCCAATTCCCTGCTCAATTTGGAGCAGAAAGGCTGAC